ATACTGCTAGCAACAGAGAGATAGTCGCAGGCGCTTAACAGGGGTCTTGGGTCAAGGAGGGGGGGGGGGGAGCAAAGATAATAATTTTCCCGGTTAGTAAGTTATCATACCTACCCCGCCCTTCCCCACACCACCATATAGAAAACAATACGACATGGCTTATCTTATTTATATTATAGGCCACACACGTGTGTTTGAAACTAAATACTGTATAAGGATTTTCATCATGGTTTTATTTATTACAAACATATTCTTCACCATCATTACAATTTGAGGCCTTTCTTTTAGGTAAAGCTATCTATCTTAAATGTTCTTTCTATTTCAGTTGGGACTATTAAGTGTTCAATTAGCTTAGAAGGCAAAGGAGGACAAGCAAAAGTTTTCACCCTCAACATTTTTTTTTTAAAGTTTAGGGCTTATGTTATATATGGCCACACACGTTTTTTAAAAACTGAATATGAACATTTTCATTATGGCTTTATTAATTACAGACATTCTTTCACCATCATTTTAGGTAAAACTTCTCTTAGGTAAAATGATCTTTCTTGAGTTTGGGACTATTATGTGTTTAAATAATTTAGAAGGCTTGTGTTTTTAATTCTATTTTCGTCGGAATTGACCAAAATGTGCAATTTTTTTAGGAAATTGGCCTACTTTAACAAGAATTTTTAAGCACTTTGAGGGGGTAAAAGGGGCATCTTCAAGAGGTGGGGAAAGATTTTCCACAGCAGGATATTTTCCCTTTGTGCCCCGGCGTTTACGCCACTGCGGAGAATATCTGGCGGCTTAGATCAAAGGAGCTATGGACACTTTTTGAAATGGAGAAGGGGTTGGCAGGGTGTTGTGAGTCTGGTCATTAAAATAGGCCTATCTATCTTCCTTTTTATTCTTATCTTCCTTTTCGTTTTCCGTTCTTTCTCTTTCCCTCCCTCTCCCCTATTTCTTTTCTGTTATTACCCAGCCTGGTACGACGACTTGGTTAGCCCGGTATAAACTGTCATGGGGTGGGGGTCGGTCTGCCCCCTGCCCCCCCCCCACCCGCCTACAGCCTGTTACGCCACTGCATAGTTGTCTGGATCAATATGCGAAGGAGGATTAATTAATTTGTTTAATGTGTTTGTTAATCATTATTTTAATTTCTTTATACCACCTAGTGGGATTGCTGCTTTCAGTTGATGTATTCTTTCATGGCAAAATGAGTGTTTAGCACCTAATGAACATATCCGCTCCTATTGTTCCCATATGTCTCACATGACTCAGGAGTTTAAATAGGTACCAATATTTGCTGGAAAAAGATTCGCCATGCGACGGAATGGCGATCTCTACTGTAGCAAACCACTTATGCCAGGAACATTTTTCTAAATTATATATTATTCTTTGTATTAGAGAGCACCCTGTTGCTTTTTCGTCTTCTTATACTGAAATAGAAAAAAAAAAACCTGTACAAATTGTATCACAAGCAAGGAATACTTCACAGTACCCACGTATCAACAAGTATAGCGGTCACAGTTCGAAATTTCCTTTTGAATGTTTTCATGACGTCGTTGCTATAAAATGAATAACACTTATTCACTCTTGTTCACCTAATGAACATTTCCGCTCCTTTTCAAAATGCTTAATTTAGTACCAATAGATTTTTTTTTCTTTCATTTTGGCCGCCAAGCCTATTGGACACGTGAATTCACTTATTCCCAGAAGAATATTGAATGTTACGAAGCACCTTTAAATATTTTTATAATTTGAGCCACTATTTAAAATATTGAATCATCAATGCGCGTGCATCCAGCACTCAGTTATTCGTAATGACTTTGTCGGTAATACACTGAATTTAAGTTTTAAGATCCCGAGAGACGCAATTTGAGCGACTGTGGCGCTGGCCTGTTTGTATTGCATTCATTTTGTACAAGTTTAGTTTGTTGTGTGATATCAGCCACTGGAGGCCATGGAGAGATCCTGCAGAAGGCTACGAGTCAGGAAATGCTACGAATTAAGGCTGATGACTATCTGCCTGTCACAGGTTAACTCAGTGTAACTTAGTTCAGTTTTGAGTTCAAAATCAAGCTATGTACGTTTCCAGTTTTACAAGCGTTGAAAACACACTTCGTATGGTATGTACATATTGATATGCTAACTCTGACCTATCTAGATTATTTTTGGTATTTTATTACCCGTTACATTAGCAGAAGATACATATTTAGCTCTTTGAACGTGTTGAAAGAACACATAAATGATATGTTTAGCAAAGACGAATAGGTCTTCATTCAAAATCTCTTTCGTTTCTTGTATACTAAACAAGTGAAAGTGGCACTCCGGCGATATTTGAACTTTTCACTTCTACATATAGGCACCAACAACATACCCAAACGCATAGTCATGTCTTATCTCGGTCTGCAAAGACAACATTTCTCAATATTACATCAATTTTATGAGCATACAAAATGCATGTTCAAATTATCTGTACCAATTCTAATTTAATGTCTCAAGTAATTAAAGTAGGTTAATATTTATGTTTGAAATTTAAAAAAGTCATCTCGTAGATGCCTATATTAATGCTTAATAGGCTGGATCGCTTGCTTTTAATGGCATTGAACTTTGACATCGTCAAACCCAACACTTGCTAATATTTAGATTTTGCTATGTGATATACGAAAATTTGCATAATAACTATACGTTAATTCAAAACCGTTATAGGCATAATATAAGTTGTTGTATAATGTCAATGACACAGCTTAACTTGCTGAAAACAAAAGCTGAATGGAATGGAGATTACATTGGTTAATTAGTATATATAGCGAAAGATAGGCCTAGGCCTATATATATTTTATATATATATATAGGCCTATATATACATATATATATACATATACATACATATACATATATACACATACATATATATATATTCATATATATATATATATACATATATACATATACACATACATATACACACACACACACACACACATATATATAAATCAAAGCAGTCGTTAACACTGTTAAATTATATATAAATCACCAAGGATAGGTAAATAGAGTGTTCGAATAAAGGACATGATGAACATGTCCTTTATTCGAACATCTAGATGTGTATAAGAGACAGTTGCATACTCTTTGTTTCTCGTTGTTTTATT